TGGTGTCGGTGTTGTCTCTGCTGCTGCCGTTGTTGTCTCTGTTGCTGTCGATGTTGTTTCTGCTGCTGCCGGTGTTGTCTCTGCTGCTGCAGTTGTTGTTTTTGCTGCTGCAGGTGTTGTCTCTGCTGCTGCCGGTGTTGTCTCTGCTGCTGCCGTATGTTGAATCGTTGCTAATGCCCTTGTTCGTTCTGCTTCAGGTATGGTGTGCGAGTGCCAGAAGCCTCCAGGACTGAAGTCGGGGTCAAGATCTGGCGGGTGCGTCCAAGAAGTAAAGTTGACGATGGCGTCGCTGTCGGCGGTGCCTAAGTCTGGGACGAAGTTGAGGACGAAGACGTTGTTCTTCAACACCGCTTTCCCGATGTAGAGTCCGCCTCTCCCGTGGTACAACTTGAACTCTTGGGTGGTGCTGTCTGCTTCGAGGTGAATGCCTTTCGCCATCAGCTGACTGACACTGAGTAAGTTGTAGCCGAGTCCCTCCGCGATTAAAACTTTTGACATCTGCAGTATAACGTTCGTCTCCCGTGACTGAAGTTGAACTACGCCTTGTCGTCTTGTGCGCAGGTTCTGGTTGTTGGCGACGGTGATGACGACTTCGCGTTGGAGTTGATGTTCTCGTTGGACGAAACGACCCGAGGAGCACATGTGCTGTCCGCAGCAACTATCCAAGAACCAGGTATCTTTCCCGGACGGCTCGCTTTGGGCGATAGCTGCGTACGTCGGGTTCGGCTGAAGTGAATCACGGCGAGGGGTGCTGTTGTCGATTTGCTCTTCCGGTGAGTAATACGGTGGTGACTCGGTGATGCAGGAGTCGGTCAATTTTGCCATGCAGCTGAAGATGTTTCTTGCTCTTTGTGCAGATTGCGTCGTTGATGTCGTTGAGGGCTGCAGTTGACTCGTGGGGTGCGTATGTGTGGACGCCACTTGACTACTTGAGGGACGAAGTTGGCGTTGCGGCGGAGTTGACTGCTGTCGATTGTTTGCGAGGGTATGCGAGGGTGCCCTGATGTCTTGCAAATATGACAGAATGGAGGTATGGGTGTTGGTTGGTGCCGGTTGTTGTTGTTGTAGCGCCATTGAGTGTGGAATGCAAATTCGGGTACTGACGTTGTTTTCTTCTGCCGCTCCTCTTGAAGATCCATGTCTTGCTGCTCGGCGTGAATCTCGACGCAGAGTGCTGCTTCGGAGATCTTCCCGTGGGCTCGGAGAATGGCTCGGGTGGAACGCCATTGAGGACCGAGGCCGCCGATGATGACTGCCACGAAGGCGTCTTCAAATATTGAGCCTCCGCATCGAAGAAGTTTGTCGCGCAATTCGCGACAACGGCTGATATACGCCATTCCCTTTTCGCCAGGCTTCATTTCCACTGTTGTCAGCTGTGCCATTAATCGACTCTGATTGACGCTGTCTGTTGCTTGATACAGGTTCTTCAAGTGGTTTTACGCAACCTCGGCGGAGTTGCCGTATCCCCGATAGGACCGGAGGTTCTGCTGCTGGTTCGGTGTGATGTTGCGCAGTAGAATTGTGCACGCCATCATGGACTGATATGTGTACTGCTGCTTGTCATATTGCGTTCCATGTGTTGGGTATGGCAGAGACCCGTCGAAGAATCCAAGAATCTGCACACCTTCCATCATCAACTCGAATTCAAATGACCAGGTGAAGAAATCTTTTCCGTCGAATGGTCTTGACGTCTGTAGCTTTAAGACGTGCGCGAACTGCGACTGAACTTGAAGTGCATCCAATGTCTTCTCTTGCTCAGGTGAAGGCTGTCGGCGCGGCATGAAGCTGACGGAACCGCGCTGGGGTTCGTACGGGGCGAAGGTAGGCTGCTGTTGCTGATTTCCTCGCGCGTAGGATGAACCGTCGAGGCTCATCGGTGTCACATCGTTGTTGTTGTTGCTGATGTTTGACTGCGCAGGTGCCGCTTGCTGGTGTTGTTCGTAGAATGACATGAAGGAGAAGAACTTCTCCATCATGCTTGGGTCGAAGCCCGCGGCTTGATTTGCGGGAGTTTTGGTGGACCCAGCTGCTGGTCTTGTTGCCGTGCCCTCCTCTGTCTGTAGGCCAGAGACACAAGGGGTGGAGTAGGAGTAGTGCCGGGAGAGCCGTTAGAGGAGCTTCTCTCCTTCTGCGTTGCCATGCCTTCTAATGTTGTAGGTGTTTTGGAAGTAGTTGAGTTTGCCCTGATAGCTCTCATACCATGTTGGGCTGAGAAAAGCCCTTAGGATCTCTGCAAAGCTAAACTCTGGGTAGGGACAATGTAATAGCGGAAGCGTTTTGATGACAAGTGTTTGAACCACCTTGCGCTGGTATGTGAGGGCAAAGTAGATTCATTAAAACAAGGCAATACAAGGTTTTTTGTTATAAGAGTACAAGGAATACGACGAGACACAGCTAATAACTGTTTTACTGTTGCTGTTGCGGTTCGATACAGTGACAACTCGGGCAACTGCTCAATAACCAGTCAGTTGTTTGTCCTTGCTGTCGCGCTGTATTTGTCAGGTCAAAGGTCGCTGACCTTTGACTTTCGCGTAAGCTCCAGCAGTTGCTTTACTTCTCAACCTCCACGTGTTGACTCGCCGATGCTTCGTTGTGCTTCGCCTCGTTTACGACTTAGTGTTTCGACACACAACAGAAGCGCTTAAATTACTTGTTTCCAACAAGTAACAAGGATTTACAGTATTAGCAGCTCAAGTACAATGCAAAGTCTTGGAAGTGACGAGAAAGGGTGGTAAAGGAACTGGGTGATCAGTTCCCATGAATATACAGTCGGTTTTGATGGCTCTTACACATGGGGGTTATGTCCATTATCACCAGCCTACTTATGCACTAATCGATCAGAAACTGTACCAGCAAACCACTGTACTATGTGAGAACCTAGAGAAGTCTTCCCAATCAGGGCTAATTTTTGGTTTTGGCCAACCCTTACGATCAGTGTTGCTCATCATAAAAAACCTGATTATCAGAGTATCCCTCTTTGAAAATCCTGATTTGTCAGGGTTTTTGCAGATCTAGAATTTTTTACCCTGGGTCATCAGTGTAACAATTTTTCAAGCCCTTGAGACAGTTAGTTTTAACACTGCACAGGATAACAATCTCAATCATCATCGTGCCAGCACACATAATGTCGTGTCGAATTGTACAGTTGCGACAGTTGGCAAAGGGGATTCCCAGGTTTCGGGGAATGGGGGTTACGGGAAGGTTGGGGGGGGGGCGGGGGGTCGGCTGGAACTCGCTTCAGGGTAGAACTCGCTAAGAGCTTCGGCAACCCTCCCTGACGCGACAGTGTAGCTTAAATGTAAACCCTGGCACATCAGGGTAAATGAAGGTCCCAAAAAAATTACCCTACTGCATCAGTGTTACTACCTAAAAACCACCCTGTTCATCAGGGCATCAGGGTGATTTACCCTGATAAAATAGGCCCTGTTCCCAATTCGTGGTTTCGTCCAAAAGTCCTCCCACAAAATCCCGTGTGTAACTGCAACTGGCAAAAACGCAGCTATTGTGGTATCTGCGCTTTCAATAGCACTCTCCAACTCCTCATAGAGCACAGATGCTGCAACAAACAGTGCATCTCTCTCTCGCCCTCTGTGCAGTAATTTGAATTCCCCTGTATCCCGCTCCACTCCTTTCTCATTACGATCCCCGTAACGTCGTTGATCTGTAAAATTTCTTGTAAGCATAGAGATGAGTGCTTATCATTCCATGGTAACAGCCCGCCGTGCTGGCTGGCTCTTTTGTCGAATAAAGTGTGGAATACATATGTGGGGGTTGTAATGTGTTACAAAGTGTACTGCGGAAAAAAACACTTCCAATGCTCAATCTCAGGTAAGGCTGGGGGGGTGAAAGGGGGTAAGGGTTGATGGGAGAGGAAGGAGGGGATATGGTGTAGCAAACAGAGGAGTGAAATAATGGGGGATACCTTTGAGTCAACTCAGAACGTGGCAACTTGTGCTTCCATGCAAAACCAGGTGACTTGTGATTCATCGAAACGACGTGGCTTGGTGAGTTGGCGCAAATGAGGTGTTGAGAGTCGACACAAAAAATGTTTGTAAATTATTAGTCGATTAATAACCACATTTACTGATTCGACTCGCAACGGGGTGAATTTTCAGTCCCCTCACACGTCACTTTATCGAGTCAACTCAGAAGGGGGTCATAGGGCAGAGGAGTGGGAATAAGGGGGAATAGCAACAACCCAAAGAGATGGGGTATGCGGGAGATGGGCTGGGTAGAGGGCGGATGGGGCTGAAAGCTAGTGGGGGGAAGATGATGGGGATAGAGCTTGTTCAGAACTTGTTCAATCAACCCCTGTCACCCATTCCCCTCTCTCTCCCCCCTCTTTTCTCCCCCCGTCACGTTTCACCATCTTGGCAAGCAGGCCAGGTCGATTTATGGAATCATGTTCTTGATAGTGTCACGCCATGTGGTAACCCTGTAACCACTACCCACGCATCTCTAACAGCAATGCATCGCGTCTCACCATCTTGGCAAGCAGGCCAGGTGGGTTTGTGCAGAGCAATCATGCTCGTGATCGTGTCACGCCACGTGTTGCCCCCCTCTCGGTCCTTTGAGTCTGTAAAGGCAAGTGGGGGGAGAGTAGGAGGGTGGGAGGAAGGAGGGTGTGAGAGGGCAGTTGAGGTGCCTGGAGAGCAACCATGCTCGTCATCGTGTCACGCCATGTGTACTGAATTGCACGTGAGAGTGCTCATGAAGGAGGAAGGAGGGTGTGAGAGCGCTTATGAGATGCTTCAAGAGCAACCGTGCTCCTCATAGTGTCACGCCATGTGTACTGACTTGCACGCTCTCGCACAAGTACAGGCGCCCCCTTCTCGGTCCTTGGAGTCTGGAAGGGGAAGCTGGGGAGGAGTAGGGACGAAGGAGGAAGGAGGGTGTGAGAGCGCTCATGAGATGCTTCAAGAACAACCGTGCTCTTGATCGTGTCTTGTGAGGCGTGTTTTCAGTCGACTCAAAACACACGAGGTGCCTCAGAATACACCTCAATGCTCAAGGAGGGTGTGAGAGCGCTCATGAGATGCTTCAAGAGCAGCCGTGCTCTTGATCGTGTCACGCCATGTGTTGCCCTCTTTCCAGTCCTTGGAGTCTGGAAGGGGAAGAAGAGAGGGGGGTGCGGAAGGAGGGTGTGAGAGGGTTTTTGAGACGCCTCAGGAGCAACCGTGCTGTGCATACTGTCATGCCATGTGTTGCCCCCCTCTTGGTCCTCGGAATCCGGAAAGGAAAGTTGGGAGGGGAGTAGGGATGAAGGAGGATATGAGTTGACTCAAAAGTTACACTGTCCCTCACAGGGTCGAGCCATGTGTATCCCCCCTTTTCGGTAGGAGGGAAGGAGGGTGTGAGAGTGGCAATGGTGAGAGCGACAAAGGGGGTTCGTTGCAGTGTTGCCTGGGGGAAGGCCACTCACAACTGCTGTTGGTGGAGGCTCACAGAGGGAGGCTCACAGAGGGAGGCTCACAGAGGGAGGCTCAGCGCACTCACCAATGAAGAAGCCCGAGTCGCACACGCACTTGGTTGCGGCCTCGGGGAAGGCAGCAGCGATGCGATCGCAAAGAAAGAGGACTGCCTGGCCGCCCGCTGAGGTGCCCGAGAGGAGGACGTGCGTCGCTGATTGGATAATGTGCTTGGACTTGAGATCTGATTGCGTTTGGCCGAAGGGTTGTGGGGAATGTGGGACAGAGAGGAACAGAGAGGAGCAGAGAGGAGCAGAGAGGAACAGAGGGGGGCGGAGGGGAACGGAGAGGGACAGCAAAAGAACAGAGAGGAACAGGAAGAAAATAGAGAAGGGGAGATGAAGGCGAGGAGAAAGAGGGGGAGATGTGAGGGTAAAGGCAAAATTGTTCCTCTCACTCTCATTCTGCCCCAGTCACTCTTCTCACTTTCAGGCATTTCAACCACTCACTCACCCTCCATCACCGCTTGGACAATATTCCACCCATCCAAGTAAAGCACAGTGCCGTTGCCAACCTCCAGCCTGCCCGCTGTGCCCTGGTAGCCACCCCCATCGCAGTAGATGAGGCGGACGGTGTTCCAGTTGTGGAAGGGCGGGTTGATCCTGCTGCTGCTGCTGAACATGCATGTGAAGGACGGGAAAATGCGCCGCTGGGGGGGAGGGGAGGGGGAGGGGGGATGGAGAGGGGGGACGGGGGGAGATACAGTGGATTGAAATGAAGGAAGGGTGGTTTGATCCTGCTCCTGATCCTGCTGCTGAACATGCCTGTGAAGGGCGGGAAAATGCGCCGCTGGAGAAGAAGTTATACCTTCTTGCTGGAGGAAGGTATAACTTGCTGCTTCCATGAGCCATCTGGCTCCTGGCGACACACTGGGCGGCATTTTCTAGTCAGACTCGCAAGTCGTACCTTCTTGGTGAGCTTGTCAGGGGAGAACTTGCTGCTCCCGCGAGACGTCTTGCTCCTGGCGACACACTCGGCGGCAGAGCTGCACCATACGCCGGGCGGCAGGTAGATGTGCCACTTGCTCTTGCCACCCTCTGTGCCCGCCCGGAAACAGTACCCTTGGGGGCTGGGATGGGGGGGAAAGGAGGGGAGATGAGGGGAGAGGAGGGGAGAGGTGGGGAAAGGAGGGGGGAGTGGAGGAGGAAGAAGTTTTGGCAAATAGATGTGCCACATGCTCTTGCCTTGCCACCCCCTGTGGCCCCTGGGAATAGTACCCTGGGGAGATTCAACAGGACAAGCCTGTTCCCCTTCATTTCCCCTTCATTTCCCCTTTCTTCGCCCTTTATTCCCCTTTCTTCTCCCAAATATTTCCCCTTGATTCCCCCAGTCACCATCCCCTTATTCCCCACTCCCCCTTCATTTCCCCTTCCCCTTATTTTCCCCTTTATTTCCCACTCCTGAAACCAAACCCGTTATCAGCAACGGCTACTCTCAGGGCGGATTACTGACTTCGGGTCATCCGCTCTTTGAGTAATCCGAAAATGTGGGATCCAATCGGAAAACCCAAATCTCGAGATTGGGAATTTTCGATTGGATCCCACAATTTTGGATGACTCAAAGAGCGGATGACCCGAAGTCAGGAATCCGCCCTCAGCCCTACCCCCGTCCTCCCTCCTACCCCACTTTCCTTTCCGCTTTCCCCTTCTCCCCCTTCCCCCTCCGCCGCTTACCTCCTGTCGAGGCATTTCGCGTCGAAGGGATTCCTTGCCAGCAGGGCGAGCCGCGGCTTTGCCGACGGCGCCGAAGGCAGAAACCGCTTTTCCAAGAGCAGCGACAGAAAGTACTGCAGGAAAAACGCGGTGCCCTTAAAGTCGACCTTTCAGCCCGCTTTCATCGCAAAAAGAGGGCGTTTAGAGGGGTATGCATGTGCTTGGAGTGGGTGCGGGAAGGAGTTATGCTATTATTCGAACATTCGATGATAAAGCTGTGCTTGTAATGGCGGAGCTATAATGATAAGGGTGTAAAGAGCTAGCACGAGACGACCAACTTCCGCCTTGTCGAAAATGGCGAAAGTAACTGGTATGCGCCTTTCGAGAATGGAATTGGCGAAAGTGAGGGTGTGTTTTCATTTGAATTTAGTTCGAAAATCGGTGGTGCGTGAACCCGAAATCTCAAAGCTTTGTTATCGATCACATTCTCACAAGGCCATCACCGCCATAGCTTCCTGTCAGAGACTTCTAAGTCTACAATGTCAGCTCTAACTTAGTCGGTATCTTAATCTGAACACAGTTTCGGGATCTGCAGATCAGGAGCTGACTATCGACACTAAAATTGTGTCCACACAGCGGACATTGGTGTCGCACTCGTTTGGCTCATACGTTCCGTGTGAGTGTGGCGACAACGTTTGTAAAAATCTACAGCGATTCTAGGCTTGTGCTGCCATTGACGAGACAGCATGAGTGACGAGAGTTGCCGTAAAAATCGCGGTCACGTGGTACTAGCTGATGACGCACTCGCTTTCTACTTACGTGAGAGCCTAGGCCGGTCATGAGTACTACTAGGCGATCAAGATATGTGTGAGCCAAACAGCGGGCCAACCTGAGCGACGCTCGGTTCTGTTTTGCGATCGTGCACATCAGCCAATTAGGAGAGTGTCGCTAGGCGTTGTCCCAGAGTCGCGAGAGTTCTGAGCAATAAAGTAGGGTAACCCTGTTTTTGACGATTTCAAATTCAAGAATCTTGAACTTGAAAATAACCATGCTGTACCCGGGCTTTAAATACTTTCAAGCTTCAGACAATGCTTAAAGCTCAAGACCCAAATTGCAAGCCGCGGCCACCAAGATTAGTAATCTTGATGGCCTCGGAAGTGTGTTACCCGATTCATTGACACGGAAGTTCGAGCGACAACAACACCTGTCCCCAACCGTAGCGATTGGTTGGGTAGATCCGGGCGAAACTTTGTAGCCTTGATCCAAACACCAGGCAGACCCCGAATGCCCACAGCCCCGCAATTTGGGACTTTTGAAGTTCCAACCACCGAGGAAAGCCATAGGGAGGGGGCAACACACTTCATGTGATCCAAGCAAGATTACTAATCAGCGCTTAGACCACTCACTCCTAAACGCCCTCCTATATCCGTCTAGGAATGATAATTGCTTCGATTAGGGCTACGACCAGGCTTACTAAAATCGCGTAGACTCAATGGTGACGTACGTGTGAAGCATCAACGTTCTCTCGGCGCCTCGCAACAGTCATAACTAGAAGCCATCGTAGGTGTGTACTGCTGCGGCAGGCGTGACGCGATACCCAGAAAGCCTAGGGCGTGTGGGCGGGGAAAGTGCTTTGCCATTGTATTCAGCATGTCGCACACCCACGCTCGTCGCTCATCCATCCCCCGCGCTCAACTGCGATCATAGAAAACCCGCGCTCACGGCTTGTCCGCGCCGAAATCTCATACCCGCTCTTCGCGTCATCCGCGCGTGAAATCTCATTCGCTCTCGTCACTCATCCGCGCTCGAAATCTCATCCGTGCACCCCGCTCATCCGCGCTCGTCTCTCATCCGTACAGGCCCTCAATCCGCACTCGTCTCTCATCTGCTATCGTACTAGATGCGGGCTCGTCTCTCACTGCATGTGCGCGCGCAATGAATTCACGAGCGCGCCCCTAGACTGCATGTGCGCTATGCGACTGCATGCGCGCCATGCGACTGTATGCGCGCGATGCGACTGCATGCGAACCATGCGACTGCATGCGCGCGATGCGATTGCATGCGCGCCATGCGACAGCATGCGCGCGATGCGACTGCATGCGCGCCATGCGACTGCATGCGCGCGATGCGACTGCATGTGCGCCATGCGACTGCATGTGCGCAATGCGACTGCATGTGCGCCATGCGACTGCCAGAGCGCAATGCGACTGCATGTGCGCCATGCGACCGCATGTGCGCCATGCGACTGCATGAGCGCCATTCGACTCCATGAGCGCCATGCGACTGCACGCATGTGCATGTGCGCCGTGCGACTGCGGAAAACTGCATGTGCGCGCTCTATAACTGCATGCGCCTCCCTGTCTCTTGCCTTTCCTGGATCCGCGTTGCTCTCCCCCTCCATCTCTTCCTCCGCTCTCCCCTCTACCCCTCCCTCCCCTGTGCACCTCCCTCCCCTCCCTGTGCATGACCGACAGGCTCCAACGTCACAACGCCCACGCGCCGCTCCACCCGCAGTGCCAGCGCCCACCTCGCCCACCAGGCAGCGCCGCGCGCTCTGCTGGCTGCGCGGACAGCAACCACGAGCATGCTGCAGGCGGAGCAGGTGAGCGTGCAGTTCCCCCTTTGCCTATGCCTTTCCCCCTTGCCCATGCCTATCAGCCTTGCTCATTCCTTTCCCCCTTGCCCATGCCAACCCGCCAAGCTCAATCCTTTCCCCCTTGCCCATGCCTATCCGCCTTGCTCATTCCTTTCCCCCTTGCCCATGCCTATCCGCCTTGCTCATTCCTTTCCCCCTTGCCCATGCCTATCCGCCTTGCTCATTCCTTTCCCCCTTGCCCATGCCAACCCGCCTTGCTCATTCCTTTCCAGAACGCCCATGCCTATCCGCCTTGCTCATTCCTTTCCCCCTTGCCCATGCCTATCCGCCTTGCTCATTCCTTTCACCCTTGCCCATGCCAACCCGCCTTGCTCATTCCTTTCTCCCTTGCCCATGCCTATCCGCCTTGCTCATTCCTTTCCCCCTTGCCCATGCCAACCCGCCTAACTCATTCCTTTCCCCCTTGCCCATGCCTATCCGCCTTGCTCATTCCTTTCCCCCGTTGCTCACCTCCTCCCCTCCCTCTTCCGTGGGCAGCTACGTTGACGGAGAGCCAATGGACGATGCGCTGTGGATCTTCAAGTGGATGCACGCCACTGCTGCTGCTGCCGAGGCAGAGGTAAGTGGCGGTGGAGATGCTAGGTGCAGCGCCTCCCACTGTGTGCCGAGGGCCTGCCACCGCCCCTCTGTTGATACCTCAGTCCCCAGCCGTCCCACAGGCACCTCCTCTGCCCCGACCAGGACAACAACCCCTCGCCATTGGAGGGGCGGACCTTTGCCGTGTTAGGGCTGGGCAATCGGCAGTACGAGCACTTTAACCTGGTATGCCCGTGTCATGCTCCACCTTGAGCTCGGCTGCCCTGCCAACCAACACGCCGTGAAGCTGTTCAGCACCATGTTGGGCTGTCTCGTCCTTCAACGTCACCGCTCGCATGGCTGCTCCCCCATCCATCCTCATCGCCATACGCCCATCCACCTCCCTCTCCCCGTCCGTATGTCTCCCCCTTCCTACCCGTACCACCCAGATTTGCCTTCCCACCACCTCCTGTTCCAACGCTCTCTTTTCCCTGCCCATCCCCCTTGCTCTGTGTGTGTGTGCGCGCGTGCAGATGGGCAAGATGCTTGACAAGCACCTCGCTGTTCTAGGTATGCTGCTATCCCATGCCCTCCCTGCCCTCCCAGCCCTCCCTGCCTTCTCTGTACACGGGAGCCCTTGGCCCCTGTGCATATGAGCTGGTGGGCTACGTCTCATCGGCTCTGATTGGCAAAAGTTCTTGGGTTTCGACAACCAGGTGCAGGGAAGGGAAGGAGGATGACATAGTAGGCCTAATCATTATCACTCGCGTCCCCCATCCCTCCCATCATGTCATCCCCTTCCCCTCCACCAACACTTCCCCTCCCCATCCCTCTTCCTCCCATGCCCTCCCCTCCCGTTCAGTGTGTGAATTGTCACACACTGTAGGCACACCGTTGCGTGTCATCCCCCCCATGCTTGCAAGAATGAAGCACTGCAGATGGCGGCAACCATGTGGCCACACGGTGTTTGCTCGCCTGCTCATACAACACTGTGCATGTGAGTGTCTCTTACTTCCGCCATCTGCCCTGCCCTATCCGTCTTGCCCTTTTTGCTTTGCCCTATCCGCCTTGCCTGAAACCTCCTCTGACACCTCCTAACTCCTCTGACACCTCCTCCTTTGTCATCGCATCCCCTTCGCGCGCCTTCACTGCACAGCGCATCATGACATGCCTGAAATGCACGCTCACGCGATGCGCAACCGAATATTCCAACCTTCTGCTTACGCCACTCTCTCTAGCGACGTTGACATCGTTTCCAGTGCCGCGTGCCCGTTTCTTATTGCTACGTGGGTGCCACCGCCGCGTCTTACTGAAGCCATTGATGGAAACTTTGGGTTGGCTTCCTGCAAATTGTCACAACAGTAGAAGAATGTGGCGTGTGCTGAGGGGCGCTCGCCGTGTGCTCCGCCACGTGGCACGCTACGATAGTTGCTTGCGGAATGCGGTTATTGCGCAAGTTGGCGCATTTGCTCCCGTTGTCAATCCCTTGCTAATTATGTACGTTGTCCACTAAGCTACCTAGTTGTTATAGGCGCTTGTGTTGCCAGTTCTATGGAGCTAGATACTAGGCTATTCTACGTTTTCTGCTCTGTAGCAGGTGGGTGTGGGAGAGGCGTGTCGAATTGGTTTGACCACCCAGGGGTGTGCCCACATGGTGGTAGTGGTACAACAAGATTTTGCTGATGATTTCGACCACAAACTGTTTCTTCATTTTGATTGGCTGTCGTTTGCCTGTGCGGCTGCAGCTTTCGCCACCAGCGATTTCATCAAATTCGCTCATACACTACCCCACTTCCGACACACTTCGTGTTGGGATTCTCTCGCCAAGCTGATCCCCCCCCCCGTCAAGATTACTATATTTGTGCAAATTGGGCCTTGAGCTTTAAGTTGTCCCGACGAAGAATACAATGGCTGGACAGATTTCAAGTCTTTACCAAAGATGGCATCGGAAAAGCATTGCTGGTCATAGACATTGCGGAAAACAAAGTTCAAACAAGTTTGTCAACGGAACATCTTCCGTTTATCTTCATTTGTTGCCATTCATTGACAACAACGTTTACCTCATGAAAAGTCCAATATCTTTTCTCCGATGGCGGCTTAAGTGCATGAAGATCTAAACAAGAAACTCAAAGGTTTTTATGTTCAACTAGAAGACAAAGCTGACAATGACGCTGACCCTGAAACTCATGCAAACATGGCTGACTTTGTTAAGAACCTAAGGCAAGAATGGGCGAATTAGGTGAAGGCTAGGGTACAAGACTAGGGTATCGAGAAAATTTGTGTACCCCCTAGTGCTAACCCCCATACAGCCTAGATAACCTAAACAAGCATATATATATATATAATTTGACACACCCCCATAGGCGAAATGGGGGATAGCCAGAACAAGCAACGGTCACAAGACCAGTCAAGAGAAGAAACAAAACACAGCTCAGGGTGGATCACAACGTCACCACGCAGTCTGAGCACAAGCAAAAGACCACAAGGCCAGTTCACATGCAGAGATATATATATAGATCACAGTACAAACAAAGCCTACAGCAAGTGAGGAAGTGTGGGCACTAGGCCTAACAAGGTGCAGAAACGCTGATGATCACCAGGCGGAAGCGCCTTGGTGAATATATCAGCAGTGTTGGCCCGAGTGGCCACGTAAGCAAGGCGAAGCTGGCCACGCTGCTGCAGCTCTCGAGCAAGGAAGTAACGCAGAGCGATGTGCTTCGTTCTGTGCTCCAGTCTGTGCTCATGACACAAGGCAATGGCGGCCTTGTTGTCGACGTACAGAACTGGAGGAGAACGAGGCCGCTCTCCCAAGTCGGTCAGCAGGTAGGTGAGCCAGCGTAGCTCCTATGCAGCCATGGCTGTGGCGTAGATCTCGGCCTCACAGCTGGAGCCGAGAACTGACGACGAACGTGTAGAACGCCAGGAAACTGAACCAGAACCAAGGCTGAAGGTGTAACCCTGTGACGACCGCTGCGTAGCCTGGTCGTCAACCCAAGAGGCGTCCGAGTGACCAGTGAGGACAACGTCACCCCGTCCTCCAAGCACGAGCCCCATGCCCGATGTACTGCACAAGTAGCGTAGCACCCTCTTAGCAGCATCCATGTGCACCTTTCGGTGCCGACCAGGAGCCACGTAGCGAGCCAGAAGGCCAAGAGGGTACGCAAGGTCAGGACGAGTGCAGGTCATCAGGTACATGATGCAACCCACTAGCTCTGGGTAAGGACCACTCGGCTCTACGGACTCGTCCGAAGGTGGAGCTGAGAGTGAGTGACCTGTAGCCAGAGGAATGGCCTGTGCTGAGGACCAGGTGAAGCCGAAGCGCTGAAGGACCTGCTGCACCATGTGTGACTGAGTCAGTGTGATGGTGCGGCGTGCTCTGTCCCGGGTGATCTGCAGGCCAAGGTAGCTGCGCAGCTCACCCAGGTCTGTGCACGTGTGTCTCTTCTGCAGCTCCGACTTCACCAGGGCGAGCGCCTCAGTGTCAGCAGTCGCAAAGACCAAGTCGTCGACGTACACTAGGATGTAGAACGGCGGGAGCGAAGTGTCGGTGCGCAGAAACAGCGACGGGTCAGCAGTCGACGGGGCAAACCCAAGAGCCGCAAGAGTCGTCCTCAGTGTGTCGTGCCACTCACGTGGCGCCTGGCGGAGACCGTAGACTGGCCGTCGGAGGCTCCACTGGGTACCAGGAGGGAACGACCCCAGACGCAGGACCTCCAGGCTCCTCACGCGCAGGCTCAGCACCCCCAGGCTCCGTACCCTCAGACGCCTCACGCCCAGTGCCCCCAGACTCAGCACCCCCACGCTGCAAACCCCCAAGCTCCGCACCCCCAGGAACAGCACCACCACCAGCAGGACCGGAGTCACCAGTGACCTCAACAGGCGCAGGGACGGGAGGGTCTACCTGAGAAACACCTGAAGGAGCAGGACCTGGCGCGGGGAGGGGGTCTACCTGGGGAGGACCTGGGGCAAGAAAGAGCGGCGGGAGAGGGCGAGGAGCAGTGCGGTAGGGGAAGAGGCGGTAAAAGGGGACTAACTCGTCAAAGGTGACGTCCTGGGACGCAAAGACACGGCGCGAGGCGGGGTCGTAAAACTGCCAGCCAGGCGCGTCAGGGACGAAGCCAAGGAAGACGCAAGGAATGGCGCGAGGGGAGAGCTTGTCCGCGGTGGTATCGCGAACAAAGGCACGAGCACCCCAGACCCGGAAACGCGACACGTCGCCAACCTTCCCCGTCCACAGCAGTGTGGGCGAGGTCTCCGGCAAGGAGACACGGGGCCAAAGGTTGAGCTGATGCGCGGCGTACCGGACCGCAAACGGCCACAGAAAATGGGGGGCAGCCGCATGGATCATGGAGGTACGAGCGACCTCCATGACTAAGCCAATGCGGCGCTCAGCAACCCCATTCTGCTGCGGAGAGGCCGGAAGCGTGAAAGTCTGGCAGATGCCGTGCTCCGCACAGAAGGCGGCCAAGAGGTCTGAGGAGAACTCACCACCTCTGTCAGAGTGCAGACGCAGGACAGGAAAGTCCGACTGGAACCGCTCGCGGAGCTGGAGACGAGTAGCGCGGATCCAAGGGATAAAAACATCAGGGACATCCCCCTTGCGCTGCAAGGGGAAGACCGTGGTGTAGCGCGTGTAGTCGTCGACAACCAGCAGGAAGTACCGCTCGTGGCCCTGTCCACGGACGCGGGCTGGGCCCCACACGTCCAGGTGGAGAGTCTGCAGTGGAGCCTCTGTGGGAGGGAACGAGGAGGAGTGAGGAGCGGCGCGCTGCCGCCCCTCGACGCAAGGAATGCAGGGCGGCACAGGCGAGGGAGGGAGGGCAGGCAGAGACCTGGGAAGACCAGAAACCAGAAAGCGAGAGTGCATGCTACGAAGGCGAGGCAGGGAGGGGTGTCCCAGGCGGTGGTGCCACAGGAGGGTGTCGTGAGACAGCCGGCGACACTCACACTGGGTAGCTACCTGAGCAGACGCGTGCAGCTGGGGAGACAAAGGGGTGAAGCGGGACTCAGTGGTGAGGGTGTACAGACTGGACCCTGGCGCACGGGTGAACGTGGCCAGGTGGCGGCCGGTCTGGGAGCACGTGCAGGTCGCCACACGCTGTCGGCCAGGGGTGAAGGTGTCAACACCCGCATCCTGGAGGACAGCGTTGCTCACCAAGTTCGTAGAGAACGAGGGGAGGTGGAGACCAGACAGCTCACCAGACGGGACCACCGGACACGGAAGCACAGTGGAAGACCGTGCAAGCACTGGGCCCCCAGAGGGGTCAGCCAGTGAGACAGGAACAGGTGCAGGAAGGGGAGTGACTGTGGTACTGTCGCGAAAGAAACAGCGGGAAGCACCAGAGTCAAGTGTAAAGGTGTGCAAGGCCTGTGCAGGCGCAGTACCAAGGGGAGCAGACTCACAAGCACCTAGTGCAGCAGGGGCTATACCAGGGGCTATACCAGGATCCGGCGGCACACACAAGTAGCAGTCACCCTCAGCACTAACAGACAATGCATACATAGCAGCTAGAATAGCCTCATAGTCAAGATCAAAGATTGGTACATCACGCCTAAGCAAGTCTGCCCAGTTGGGGAACTCAGTAGCATCAGGAAACTTGGCGCGCCAGGCGTCGCTAAGTCGAGCGAAGCAGCGCTGCTCAGTGTGAAACCCTGTGCACTGGCGATTAGCGCGGGGACCTGTGCGGATGATATAGGGGCAGCGACCAGGACCCCCAGAAGCCCCACGCCCGGCATACAAGTCAAGAAGCTGCTGGGAAGTGGGGGTCTGGCGCTGACGCTGCTGCTGCTGCTGCTGCTGCTGCGGCTGCTGCTGGCCCTGACCACCACTGCCACCACCGCTCCCTCCTCCCCCACCGCCGCTGCTGCCCCCTCCACCGCCCCCAGTGCCTCCGCCGCCCCCACCACCACCTCCACCCCCTCCACCTCCACGACCACCCCCACCACCTCCACCGCCCCCGCCGCCTGCACCACCGCCACCTCCACCGCCGCCCCCACCTGCCCTGCCACCCTTGCCGCCCCTGCCGCTGCGACGCTTCCCACTAGGAGCGGAAGCAGCCCCGACCTCCTCAGCACCAAGGTAGTCGTGAGCAGCAGCTGCGGAGGCGTAGGAGGGGGTGAGAGGGGAGGGGGAGCACCCCTCAAAGAGGGGAGAGCGAGGAGTGCCACGAGCAGCACCTACAGCGAGGATGTTCTTCTCTGCTGCGAGGAGGTGCTTCTCGAAGTCGTCGACAGTGAGAGTGGGGGGGTCTAGCGCAAGGAAGTGGTCCCTTACTGAGCTAAGAGTGTCAGGGAGGCGGGTGACGAGGAAATAGAGAGTGAAGTACATCGGGGGGGGGGGTTAGCGGCGCAGAACTCGGCTGAAA